AAGCTCTGGCCATGAATGTGCATCTAGTCCTGCTCTGCAGCCTGCAAGGACATTTAGCATCCAAATCATCCTCCAGGTCAAGCTGGAGAACATCTCAGCTCGGGTGGTGAGAAACATTTTACTTGGTTGTCTAAGATCCAGGTCTTCCCTGTTGCCAATTTACCCGTGTCAGACAGTGAGGCACCCAGCTTGCCCCTCTAGACTTTTCATAAGCAAAGTGAACCTCCCCATGGGGACATAACACCCTACCAGGTAGGTTTGTTAGGTGGCCTCCGACCCTGCCAGCAAGGCTGTAAAGATGATTTCCCTCAGCTCTGGCACAAGCCAGCTGCTTCCCCAGACCCTCTCTGCCATTGAAAAGCCTCTGGAAATGTGCTGTCACCTTCTGCTTGCAGCGTTTTCCTAGAATCTCTCTTCCTGGCCTCTCTAATAGTGATGGTGTCTCCAGGCCCTGACTCACGTGATGGGTTTGGTATGCAACTCCCAAGGCCAGGAAGGTCACTCACCTCAATTATTTAGCAAACACAACACAAATTATTAACACTAATACAAATAATGCCCACGTTTGGGAGAGGAGAAGGAATACACTCCTTGCCTGGCTGCTAGGACCTGGCATTATGGAGCAACCACACATCCTCAAAGCGCAGGGATGAGCAGCCCTGAGGGTCTCTGCCCCCATCTCAGCTCACACCAGGCCTGTAAATTAAGGGTACATGTTTCCAAAGGTGTTCTCTGGAAGCCAGCTCTAATTCCACTGCAGTTCCAATCGTGCAACTTCCACAAATCAATGCAAAAGGAGGGGGGGAGAAAAAAAGAAAAACAAGCAAAAAAAGCAGCTGGCTCAGAGAAAGCTGCAGCTGCCAGACAGCAGAGAATTGCACTTGCTGGCCCAGCACAGACCTTCCTGTGCGTTGCTTGTACCTTGTCCCTTCAGGACATTCTTGTCCAAGGCTGCAAAAGGCCCTGGCAATATTTATGACAAGACTATTTACAATGTTCAGGTTTTTTTTTTCCTTTGGAGCAGTTCCTGTGCCACCAGGCTCCTCCCACGGAAGGGCAGCCCAGTGTAGGACATTCATCCACAGTGTGTGACTGACCCGAAACTCCCAGCTCTGTGTTTTCCTATTAATGAGCTCTCCTGTGAGTGGAGGCAGACATGGAGCCTGGCTGGAGGCTGGACTGGAAGCAGGGACCTTCTGAATGGGCTTTGCCATCTTGTGAGGCTACCAAATAAAAGTGTTCCTGCCTTGGAGACGATCACGTTGCCTCTATAACGTGCAGACTCCCTCTTGTCTAGAAACAGATGGCTTGAGCTGTTGGAGTTGGGCAGATTCACAAGCTGATAATCATCTCCAGGGAGGCAGGAGCTATTGTCAGAGCCTGTGAGACACACCCCAACTTCAGGCCTTTTTCCTCCTAATTCTCAAAACGTTGCTGAAATTCTCACTACAGGAATGCTGAGCAGAGACATTCCCTTTGTGGGTCCCTGCCCGCTGAGCAAGGAGAAGCTCCTGGCTTCCACACAAGCCAAAGTGCCTCCCCACACCCTGCTAAGAGAAAGCACCTTGAAACATGAAAGGCTTCACCTGGTCACCAAAAAAAAAAGAAAGAAGCTGCACATTGCCATGGTACTGCAGCAAAAATGGAACAGGTATTTTACCCTACGTGTGGCTGACCGAGGCACATGTGGCTGCTGCACCAGGGCAGCCACGTCCACAGCATGTCAGAGCAGTGCTCAGCACCCACACATCTGCTGCCCAAGCACCCCAAAGGTATCAGAAACTTCAGTTAATAACCTGCTGTCCTCATTTACTGGTCAGGGCAAACCACAAACCAGAGGGCTGAAGTGCCCCCTGTTACCTCCCTCCACTCTCCCAAGGGAAGATAAAAGGGGAACAAGGAAGAGAGACTTAAGGGTTGGAAATGGAAACTGGAACAAATTTACTTTAATGTGAAAAAAGGAGCAACATGTTGGGGGGTAGAGAACAGATTTATAAACCTGTACACAGATGTACACAAAACCCATCTCTAGGAATAGGTGGGAGAGCCCCTTGTGACAAGGCAGCCTCAGGAGAGGGGTCCATGGCTCCTCACAGCACCTGATGGAGTTGGATTCTGGAGAGCACATGGGGAGGTGAAGAAGCTCTGAGCAGCATCAAACTAGAAAGGTGCATGAAAAAGGGTCTGGGCTTCTGATTCTTCAGGTTTTACAGAGTATGGTAGGAAGTGGGAGGGAATACTGTCCTGAGAGGAGGCTGGACAAGCAGTCAAGAACATGATAAAAAATAGGACACTTTTCCCTAGTTACTGTCCTGGGCTCCTCAGTACAAGGGACACACTCTGCTTGCTCACCTCCTAGCCAAGCCAGATGGAGCAACAAAGAATAAGACATACCTCATGTTGACTGGCACTTTTAAATTCTCTCTTAGCAAAAATGCCAGTATTTTCTAGTCTTAACAGTTTCTGAGGTTGTGATATTTCTTGCCTTGCCTCCTCTTGGCAAGCAATAATCTGTAGAAGTAACAGATGATCTAAGAGCTGTCTCCCACCACAGCATGTCAGTGGCACCCCAGTATTGTAGTCACTACAGCACTTCAGAAAGAAGCTTCACCTGATCTCTTAACATGCCTATTTATTTATTTTTTACAAGTAAGTCTCTTTACCATCAGGATAGGCTCCAGTCTCCCACTTTAGAGCACCTTTTTCCTTTAGCTCCTCACAAAAAGAAAACATTTTGTCCATCGTTGACTGCAGCAGCCCATAAACCTGCAGCAGAAAATAATAGAAGGTAGTTGCAGTGAAAACACATGAAGAAACCCTGATGACAAGACTTGACAGAGAGATGGTTTCTTGTGCAGGAGCACATTCACACAGGGACAGACACACAACCACATCAAAGTGGCTGCCTGCTAACACAGCTTAGCTCTAGGAAGAAGTTTTCTAGCTAAGAAGTGTGTTTAACATTATCTGAGATACAATTAATTCTGCTGATCCCTCAAGAGTCCACAAGCACACTGAAGACATCCCAGATAGAAATCCCATCTGTGGTTATGGGATGGCTGGATTTCCAGGCCAGAATAAAGGACATCTTACTTGGTGTTTCACACTTACCTTGACACAAGAGTTACAAAGAGTTTTCTGAGTTGAACAAAATGCTCACCTCTCCAGCTCAGCTCCAAGGGAAACTTACAAGCAAAGCACAAAAACATGAAAGATACCAGCTCTGGTCAGACTCACTTGAATATAAAGACTTTCCCGGTATTGTTGATACAAAACAGTGTCCTTCACCTCCACTGCAAAAGAAAGAACTTCAGTTACCCAAAAGCAGTGTTTTCACACCCAGAAAGACAAGCCTGCAATGGAAGCAGGTTACTTTTGCAATGCATTTTCCTCTTTTTATTCCTCTCAGCTGTACTGCACTGAAACACAATTCCTTACAGATGACTTTGATTAAATAAGGGATGAACAGGTCTCAGAGGTGTATCAGAACAAGCCTGTGAAACACTGAGATAGGGCTTCCTGGGTCGGGCTGTGTGAGAACTGTGGCTACATCTAGCTAAACTAAAAAGCTTGTTTGGGTGGTGGTTTCTTAATGACACCAAACCACAGATCACACCATCTGCCTTTTTTTTTCCCTCTGATGCATTTTATTATAAAAGCTTTGAGGTGAAACTGCTGAAGCTGCCATCCCAATTGAAATTCAGCACATGGTTTGGATTTCCAACAGGCCACAGAAACCAGTTGCTGTGCTCAAACTGCCACTCACCTGTTTCCTCTGCTTCCTTTTGAACATCATCATCAAGATAGGCAGTGTTCTCAGGCAGCCCAAGAGAGGCTCTCAACCTCATGGAGCAACTCACCATATTGTCAATTGTTTCACTCCACAGCATGAGCCTGTGAAAAGGATCAGAATCAGAAGGGAGACAAATACAGAAATTGCCACCTTTGTTTACCCTGTACCCAGGAGAGAAGGCACCCAACACGTGGGAGCTGTTCTGTCCATCTACACCCAGGGAACAGCACCCACCAGCTAAACATCTGTGCAGAAGGATACTGAAGTACTGTCCTCATCTTTGTGCCCTCTGAGGGCTCAAAGGTTTGAAAAGCCATGGGCTCAGATGGACCCATAAATATTACTGTGAAACTACATCTCCTGCTCTTCAGCATGACCCACGTTCATAAATCAGCATGGATCTGCTGTGTTTACCAAGAGGAACTTGCACCCTTCTAATTTAGGAGCAACTAGAAGCTGCTGATATGTTTACAGTCTGAAAGCCTGAGGAAAGAATAGAAAGACTGTATGAGGGAGGATACAGTTATCTTAGTAAAAGGGCATACAAAATTACCCAAAGGTTTTATCACCAGAGACTAGAACAATCCTGACAGAAATAATCTGTATGCAAAATTACATGAATTTAACATTCTAAACTTATGTCCAGAATTAAATTTTTTAAAAAAGAGCCTAGACAGCTGCTGTAATTAATCTTATAAAAACCCAGAGTGCAAAGAAGACTTGTAGACCTCATATAATTATTTGCATTGTGAATCACAATGCTTGCAACAGAGCTTGCTATGGCTGTTGGTCACAGGATGCATTCACAAGCTTTATCTCGCCAAGGTAACGCACCCAGTTTGATACAATAGGCTGCACTGAGTTGGCCTCTGCTTAACACGCAGCTCCTCTATTGCCTTGTTGAGCTGGGCCAGGGCTGCTTCTCTCTGCTCATCATCAGGGACTGACAATAAAGCCTGGTGTGAAAGAAAACACAAGTGGCATGGAGTGAAAGCTGCTTCTCAGTCCTCATTCCCCATCCACTGAGCCTGAGATCAACAGGGAACACCAGGGCTCTCTGCCTGTGCACCAGTCTGAAACCAGACTGCACTGGGCACTTAGGCACCTTGATGTGGCCTCCTGCATGGCTGGGATTTAGCCAAGATGCCCATGCAACCCAAGACCTGAGGAGCAACCACAACCACCCCAGTTGGATTGACAGTAAGTCCCTCTGCACCATCACAGGCTTGCTGGGGAAAAGGGATTCCAGTGAGCTAAAAGGCCACATACACAGATTTGTTATAAAAGCAGCCAAGAGATTTCCAATCAATCCAAACCACTTTTGCTTAATCTAGGGAGGTCTGTGCTTTATTCACAGCCTGTCATGAGTGCCCCTTAGTGCTCTCATGAATAGGAAGGACTCTCCAAGGAGAGGAGCCATTGGGGAAGCCACAGGTGGCTGCAGGATTAGCCTGCCCCTGGGATGACAGAAAGCCAGTGGGGGAAGAGCTTAAAGTATCTATTACATTGTGTGGTTTTCCTCACTCAACAGTCCTCAAAGTCTCTCTTGAGAATCTCTTCACAAGAGCACCGAGGATGTGGTCAGCAGAGCTGTAGTCACACATCATCACCTCTAGCTCACAGCACACTGGAAGCAGCCCTTTGGGTGGGCTCACACTGGGTCAGCCTAAGCTGTTAGTAGGGAAATCAGAACACCACCAGCTTGACACAGCACTAGCAGGAAGAGAGGTGATCACCTGCTTAAAGTCCTCGAAGGAGTAGTTCCATCCTGAGGGGCCTTCATCTTCCTTCTCCACATTTATAATAAGACCTAGATCCTCCTCAAGCATGTCCTTCCAACCTGAGACCTCTGATACGCTGCTCTTAGCAGAGGCAACCTCTGAGATGCTCTCCTGGCCTGAGGGCTCCTTCACCTCAAAGGCTGAGGGAACATCCACGTGCTTTCTCCACAGTTCATGCAGCTGCTTCACCACTTGATGCTGATAATGCAACTGTGATCATGGGGAAAAGGTAAGTAGAGAAATGAGCCGTGTCCTTCCTCTACAAACCTTGTTGTTCGAGCCACCACGGCAGCCTCCAGAAACCCAGGGATGCACCAGCCCCACAGGTCTTCCCTCCCTGCTATTTCAGTTGTGTAGCCCATCAAATAGCTAAATGTCACCTCAGGATTCTTTTGGTGGAACAGCTCTTCCTCTGTGATGCAGAAATCCAGAGGAGACGGGGACCGCTCCGGGGTCCGGATTTGGTCGAGACATCTCCTCAGACTCTCCTTGGCTATAGAAACAGCTACTCGAGCATCCAGGTCACGCTGAGGCACCAGAGCAAGAACAACAGCTGTTCATACCCATTCCATACACAGACACACAAATTCACACCCATGCCCGTAACCACGTGTGTGTTAGATGGGTTTACAAGGACAAGAATAACTGCAAATCCTGCTAAGCAGAGCAATAATTACAACAGCTTTTGAAATAAACCCTGCAGATCCTCCCCCAAACCAGACCTTCCAAAGCAGTGTGATTTTCAATCTATACCTTGATACCAGAGTGTACAACACATAATCCCATCCCCACTAATTAAAGAAATTCATTAGCAGCAGAAAATGAATTATTTAAAGGACAAATCTGAACAGTTTAGGAACTGCTACTGTGTCTTTTATCAACAACACTTCTTCCATTTTATTTAGCAAGGCTGCTCAGGTATGTTCAGGTGTTTTGTAAATAATCTTCTCACTCTCAGCCCTAACTGCATAACAGTAAAAATACCATGTCATCCACTCCCACCCTTACCCTCTATTTGCGTATTAAAGTTCAAAGCTCACAGTTACCCAGTTACATGCTTGGTTACCTGCAGTTTCTCTCTTACATCAGCCCATTCATCCACATACTCAGCAAGTCCACAAAGGAGCACCTGCAGTGAAGCTCCTCCTAATAACACAGGATGTGTCCTAAATTCCCAGTACTCGCTGAAAACACCTGCTCTGCCTGACTTGAAAAGAACGCAAAACTTCTTTGTTTGTCCAGGCAAAATTACACCTGAAATAAGAGAGAAAGTGCACTGGTTAAATGCACCGGGTTAACTCGACCCTTTTCCAGCCCAATCCTGAGTGTCCTTATCTCTGTACAAGTCTCCCCAGAGCTTAGCTGCCTATCACACTTCATCCAGCTGTTTTTCTCCTCCCAGTCACCACGTTACTGAACTGGTGTTCTTTCCACTTCATGTTCCTTTTACAGCAAGCTCAGGACACTCTCTGGCAGATCCTGCCCAGTTTACCATCAGGAAATAATTCCCTTCTCAACATGCCACCCACTTACATGCAGAGCAGGAGCAACTCCCTTTCCTTTAAGTCCCATGGATCTGCATCACACACCTCTTTTGGTGTGAGTCAGCTCTGATGCCCAGGGTGGCTTCCTAAGGAATATCACCCAACAGACTTGCTCTGCCATTAGTCAGACTCTACAGCTCAGAGAACTCCTGAGTAGGTGCTCTCTGGTCTAAGTACAAAGGTCTCGGAGATCAGCAGCTCTCATACCTGATCTGATATCAAAGTAAAAACATGGCATCCTCATCCCCTTGGTTTCTTTGGTGCAAATCCCCTTTGGAAGCCTCAGCCACTGATACCAGATGGCTGTTGTGCCATCATTGCTCACTGTCAGAGAGTTCTCAGCCAACTCACGCATCTTTGTCTCAAACATGACTGCAGCAGTAATCCCAACTTTATCCTTCAAGGAAGAGGAAAAGACAAAGATAAGCATTTCTACTCTATCTGCCAGGATTTATCTTGCCTGAAGTCATACCCCAAATAAGAGGGAGAGTCTTGGCAGGAGAACTTTCAAGGCAGGTCTACTGAAGTGGCCACTACACGGAGAGAGCCTGGGAATCTAAGCTCCACACCACAGAGAAGCCCTTTCTGCTTCCAGATCCCTCTGGAGCAAACGTAGGGATACTCTGTTCTGCTCAGAAGCAATCTCCCATTCTCTGGCCTGGGAGTGACACTCATTGTACAGCTGTGTCTTGGGAACTCCAGCGAGCTTAGCTTGACTAAACAGTAAAAAGTGCACCATTACCCTGCAGGGGGTGGTGTAGTTGATCCAACGAGCAGGATAGCCACCAAAATCTAAAGATGGACCCTGTATTGCTTCTGGAACCACATCAGGCTTGTCCTGTAAGGAGTCACTGCTGAAAAACAAAAAGTACCAGCATCTTCAGAGTTCAATTCACTTTCAGAGAAGGGAGAAGAAGGGGTGATTTACAAGACCCTAGAAGAAATAATCCCTACTAATGCTCTTCTGCATTGTCTCTTTAGGGACAGAGTCTTGCAGATGTGCTGAACTCCAGCTAGTGACTTGTCACCATCAAGGAGCACAGGACAGCCAGAACAGGGCCTGCCTAAGGAAGGCTGGGGACACGAGACTGAATTAGGAGAAGAGTCACCCAGGTTGTGCCCATTGCAGCTGGACAAGATGGGGGGAAAAAGGCAAACTGATGATGGAGGTGAAAGGCTAGAAAAAGACAACCAGATGGAGGTCCCCACTCTGCCTAAGGTAGGCTGTGGAGACACACAGAGGGAAGACTGGAGGAAGTGCCTGAAAAAAACCTTTTCTCTGATTTTTCCTCCTTAGGCACAAGGCCTCAAGACACAAGATTCCTACCTCTGCCAACTCTCATGTCAGTATCTGCCTTTTCTTGTGCCCCAGTGGAGACCCCTCCATGTTCTGGATGAGGACGGTTAAGGACACCCCTACAGACTGATGGTACATACCTAAAATGCTTTATTTCTGCCATGAAATAAAACTTACAGGGTCTCAGACTCTTCTGAAGTGGTGGAATGTTGAGAAGGTTCAGTTGAGACAGATGTGAAAGGCTGCCCTTTACCAACCACCTCCAGTCCATCCAGATCCTGAACAGACAGAAAAACGACCAGCTTATGATTTATCTTTTTATATAGAAAGCAAGTTAAATACTAGAGAAATGCAGCAACTGAATGCAGTGAAGTCAAGTTCACGTATCTTGCTCCTACAATGGTTTCTAGAAGTATCCAATGAATGTTTAAAAGACAGAGGAAGAAACTGACTCTGGGTCAATCCAAAATCCTAGATGACCCCACTACAAAAGCTGCAGGGATGGGAAAAGTCTCTCTCACACACGTTTCTCATCCCCAGACCCAGGTTTCAGAAAGAAATACCTGGGGTTTGTTCAGTTTTTCAGAGGAGCTAACTGCCTCTAGGAGAAGACTTTGGATGTGTGTCTTTCACATGAGCAAAGATGTCTTCTGCTCTGAGGCAGGACCAAGTATCAAGGTCCTACACCAGAACTTGGCAGATTTTTTTGCTGTCTAGGTCTTGGTAGCAGCACATTGCTGGTTTGGGGTCCTACCCTGAGGCTCCACACAACACTTAGGGAGGCCAGACAACTCTTCCATGGGTGTGACCCTTTGAAAATGGAGGAACTTCAGGATAAGCACTGTGGGGCTGTTTTAGATTCCACATGCTTTTTCAGATCCAGTTCTTGGTGATTTTATGTTAGTGTACAGCATCTGACATGAGATGAGAGATGCAGAAAGTGGCCTCCCTTCTCTAGTCTTACCGGCTTATAAAAATCCAGCTCCTCTATGACAGGTTTTATCTCCTGCCTTCGCTGCTTCAGGAAAAGACTCTTATCCCAAGTTTCATGGAAAGGAATCTTCTTTGGAGGCTTCAGACCTGTGGAAATACCCATACAAGAGCTCACTGTGTACACACCCATTAATTTCACTCCCTGCTGAAGTTTGGTCTCGTAGTGTTTTAAAGAGGAGGTTGAACAGATGCCTGGGAAGTCGCTTGGGCTGCAACTGTCAGAAGGGACAACTACAAGGTGAGCCTGATGCTTGCAGGAGTCACTGACTCCTTCCTGCTGCTCCCTCCAAAACTGTACCTCCTTTCTGCCAAGTTCCCTTACCCGTTTCCAGCTGGACAGCAGGGGGGTTCCCTACATGAGTGATTGGCTCTAGGTAGCCACGTTCCCTCCGAGTCAGTGTCATTGTCAGGCCAGTGAGTTCATCTCCGATACGCTCGGGCTGCTTCCAGAACTCGCTTCCTTTCCCACGGCCCTAGGGCAGAAAACAAGGCTCCTCCTGATGCTTTCAGAGGTGCAGGGCTGCCTGCTATCTTCACAAGGACTGGAAGTGATAAAGAAGGGATCTAACTCTGCTTATATGAACATTTTAAAGGTCTATAAATGATCACTTTCTGCAGAGCAAGCAAAAAAAAAAATCAATCAGGCTGCTGGCAATGACAAAAGAACTTCCTTCTATCTAGTCCTACATGAAGGCTGAATGTCATTAAAACAATTCCTCACACAAATGCAAATTACTCAACAGTGCTGTAAATGTAAAAAAAATGTTAAGAGACTCCCATAATCTTCCTAACTTACCCACACCCTTTTCTCCACGGCAATAAATTAAGTTCAAGCCTGAAGCTATCAGATCCTTCTGTCCCTGCACGAGCAACTGCAGCATGTCCCATGTGCCCCTTCCCAGTGTGACAGACATTGGTGACAATCAAGAGATGGGGCTTGTCCATGTAGAGCAGTTTACCATCAAGAAGCCAAAGTACAGCACGACTCTCCTCTGACAGGTAGGAATAGCACAGCTCATGCTTTTATTTTTGAAGTCACAGAAAGGCTGAAGGATTTAAAGAGTGGCTTTGATAACTACCTAATGACAGGTCTTCAGAGCTGTTACTCATAACATCCAGTGCCTTAGAGCTTTCACAAGAGCAGAGCAATCAGGATGCAGAGGAAGTAGGGCTCTCACCTTTCCAGGAAGCAGGGTAGGGAGACTCAGGTCAATGAGTTCACGTTCTTCCTGGATTTGCCTGTAATTCTCAGAGACATTCATCACCAGTTCATCCTCTGGCCTCTGAAGAATTTCTACGAAGGAGGAACATCAGATCACTGGTGCTGCTCTTCTGCCAGGCACACCCTTTACCACGGCCATCGTTCATGTGCAACCCCCTTACACTGTCCCCCATCAAATCCACTGTTCTTCCCCCAGCCAGACCCACCAGCTCACCTCCCCACAGCACCCACAGCCACTAGCACTAGTGGGGGCTCTGAGAACATGGAGGCAGGCTGCAGCAGGGCTAACCCCAGTGAGCTATGGACACCACAGCTTGTCCTGCTGCCATCAAACTCCCCCATTTCCACGCAGAATTTCACAGGTTGAGGCCTCAGCTTTTCTCACCTCCCAGACACTTCTCCTGAGTCTTCCTGGTTGTCATATGATGATGCCAGTTCTTGAGAGCTTTGCGCTCTGGTAGCAGAGTCTGATGAACCTTCTTCTTCTTTCCCTTCTCTTTTGAAGCTGCCAGAGTAACATCTTGACAAGAAACCTCAATAAAATCTGGCATCTGAAGAGAAAGGAAACAAACCCCTCCGTGCACACACAGCCCCCACCAGCCAGGAACAGCTCCTGGAATGGCCCATGGCCACCACAAGAAGAATGAGAGAGTGGAGGAGAATAAAATTCTTCAGATTGACAGCACTTTGACCCAATCCCTCTGAGAGGAATAAAAATGGGGCATTAGGAACACCCTCAGATGCAACAGAAGGATTTATCTGAGTAATGAGACTTGAGCAATGGCCTTGCTGCAACACCAGCTCTTCCCCTGTGAGCCTGATGCCAGCAGCAGCCACACGTATGGAAGAGGAAGCCTCTGTGATTCCTCCCAACATGACCTCTTCCTGCAGGCAGCACTTCCAAACCTGCTGGTGCAGTTTCTCAAGGCAAAGCTGTGCCGGGGACTCCGGCAAGGCTGGGAAAACCACACCTCAGGCCCGGCTTGCTCCTGGCAGGTGCCGAGGAGCACGGGAAGGTCCGGTGGGCACTGCCCACACCTCTAGGAAAGCCCCACACGGCAGCGCCTTCCTGGTTTGACAAACCAACCTGACGCTTCCCGCTGGCTGCGGCTTCTTTCTTCAGCTCCTGGAGACTTCGCAACACGTAACGGGGGGGAACCTCTTTACCCCCATCACTGAGCAGTCCTACAACACACACACAGGCAGCGGCTGAACCACCCGAGAGGGCCGGGGGGCG